CCTTTCTGCTCTCTACAAACCAATGAACCAATTAGGTTGATGGTAGTTGTAATCAGGAAAAATGCATTTGTAGTACATGGTAAAGGTGCGTTGGAGGAAAACATTGCAAGTGACCGAAAGTCATCCAAAATGTGTCCAACTGGGAAGGTCGAGGGCACAAAATTGGTCAATCAGGGAGCTCCAGCTGGCACTCCAGCGGACACCTTTTGACCACTCATACGGACATGGATGTGGGGATCAACAAATTTTGGATAAGGACGTCATCGTTATCAAGGCTGAGGGTAAAAACCCACCTCAGCTAATGTGCCGCAGTACAACAAGGAAAAAAACTAAAAGTACACTTCAACAACTTGCAAAAGCCGGTAACTTAATGTTAACCTTTGTATTATACAAACCGCACGAGCCGGAACTTGGAGAAAGTATCCAAATGGGAGGGTGTTGGACAAAGTGACTCACAACACAAACGCCTTTGGGGAGGGCCCTTCGCTATAAAAACAAGTGTGTCAAACCAAATATGTTCATAGTAATTTGGATCCAAGCCCAGCAGTCGTCATGCAACAACCGACGCCAGCTAAGTAGTGAGGGTTTTCATTAATCTCGACCTATTCACCTCTTGGCCTTCTCTTTTCTTCTTTCAACCGCAACCCAGGCGCGCAAACAAGGCACGTTGCGGATGTCGGTGGTTGGCATGCGCCACAAGTGGCGCAGCGATCGGTGCCTGGTATGTGATATAACGACACTGAGCGTTTCACTAGCTCTTCCTTCACCAAATCCTTACCGCTGAACACGCTTATTACTTCCGCGGTGCTCCCACCAAACATGAGCTAGGCTACGAAGGCAGCGATGGTCGAAGGTGACTATCCTCTGAATGTCTGGCGACCTGATGGGCCAGGTTTCACAACCGTATCAGAGCGTTGAACGGACCGGCTGCTTTCCAAATCCTGCCATTCAGGGTGAGTGTGATGTCTTGTCTGCGCCACAGGTGGCATTGATTCTCAAAAGCATTTTGAGGTTTTGCCATACGCTTTGTAATCTTATCTTAGACCAAACGGACGCTTATATAGCTGCCGAGGTACTTGAATTCCTGAACGGTTTCTAGCTGATCCCCCCCGAAAGACTGCGCAGTGGTGGGTTTCTGCCAATCTTGGAGAAGTGCTTTGCATTACGATGAAGTAAAGCATAGCACAAAACGATTGACAGCCGGTGCTAATCGGTTCCAGTGTTGAATGACACGTTTGTGTGCCTTCTCAGAAAAGAGCAATATCGTCCGTATACTGCACATCAAGCAGTGGCTCACCAGGAAGTAGCTCCACACCTTCTAACTCGTGTCCAGCGAATGCTGTTTCTATGACTTCGTCAATGGAGAAGTGATAGCGGATAGCTGACCGCGGCCAAGCTTGTGTAACACCGCTGATGATATCGGACGGCGGCAACATTTTACCATAAACCCTCACTCTACTCAAAGTATATGCGCACAGCGCTTCCGTAATGCTTACGTACCCATCAGACAAACCTTTCCTGAGCACGCAGTCCAAAGGACGCATCGATCAACCGGATCAAATCCATTTTTGATGCCAACAAACAAGACTGCGATGGGTCGCTGATAAACATGGCTGTACTCCACCATTTGATGTCAAGTGAAGATGGGGTCCATGCAGCCCCGACCTCGACGAAACCCGGCTTGTGCTTCGCTGATCTGGTCTTCATGCTGGCCATTCAATTTGTGAAGAACGACAGACGCTAGCAATCTAAAGGCAAATGAGATCAGACTGAGCCCTCAATGATTGCTGCATTTTGAACGGAAGCCTGTCCTAAAAATTGTGACTATGGTGAAGCGACTTCAGTCTGTTGTGACTGTTTCCTACTCCCAGAGTTCACCAGCAACGCGGGCAAATCATCTACAAGAGCAAATCTCCAAAATATAAAGAGGGCAGGGGGAACTCTAACTGCCTCTGCGGCCTTATGTAATTTCAGCAGCGTAATCTCACGTTCGACTTCTTCACTTGTGGACGGAGCTAAGTAGACTGCCCATGGAGAAAAGCATTTAGTACCCGAAAAAGAAAGGGGTAATTTAAATTGGATAAACCGTTTTGCAAACTGTTCAACCCAACGTTGTTAAGCTGTTGTCCACTCTGGTCACGTATTGTGTCGCTAACACCAGGTGTCCTGCTGTCCGTTTCCCGTATCAGACGGAATAACTTAAGGTGATTAACAATGGCAGTGGCTGTTTCTATTTTGGATGCACGATAAGACCACCAGGCTTAACGATCTCTCTCCAGGCTAGCACGCAGTATTTTTCCTGAAGTTTGTGCGAGTCTCATTGTATTCGCTTCCAGCAGGAATACATTGGAGAGTATCTATAAGTACCACAGAATGTGTAGACACCCAATAACCAGATTGGCAATTTGATTCGCTACAGGAAGACATGCCTACTGATAGTAATGTTTGACGAGTATGCTACTATTGATTTCCGATGTTTCTCAGTGGACGCTTACTCAGCCCAAATTCCAACGTATTTTGAGACGCGTTCAGAACATCTGGCTTCGCCAGTTGGCTGTTGTCACTGCGCTTACAGCGATGTTGCGGACGTCCGACGCAAAGCACCCGAAGTTCGGCACACACATGAGCGTGATCGGGGTCCAAGCTGTTGCTCCAAATCGAGCGACAGTTTTAGACACAGCCTTCTCAGCGGCAACTAATCGCGATGTGATCGATCTGCGTCCATGGCTGGCAGGTGCAAAGTCACTCTGCTGCGGGTGCTATGTCGAAAGTTAGTGTTTGCGCGAAAATTGACAAACATCTTTGCACCGGTGTAGCAACCGCTAACGGTTATCGTTAAGGGAGCCTACACCATGTCGGTCACCCAGATGAAGTTCAGCAAAGGACAATTTTTCGACGTGGACGTTTAGATCACCAGAAGGGAGTACCTAAGGGAGGGCGGGGGAACAACCATGTTGGCCACAGGATACTCTGGGGACTGCTACTGTACACAAAAAAGGCAACTATGCCACTCGGATGTCAACGGTCTCCGTTAATCGTCCTGCTGTCTTGTGGGTTAGGTCTTTATGACCAAAGGCTCGGGGTAGGGTTCCTTAAGTTAAACCCTCTTCCATGGCCTGGGCAAACGAGAAGATCAGTGCCCGTACAACACATTAACCTTGTAAAGCTTTCGACAGTCTACCTGTTTTTCCCTTTTTATGGTTGTTGTTATTGTTAACTATGTGTTGTGGCACTGCCAATTGTACATTGGTCAGGAGTTGAATAATAAGAGCTCCAGCCAGCACCACAATATCCGTACTTCTTCCGCAACAAAGATCATGAAGTTAGGGATACAAATCATTGTGCACCGAAGCAGGGCTGTATTTTGTGAGTGTCTAAGCCGCAATGATAAACAGGCACCGTATGTCCCCGCACGACTTTGTAGCCTGGAATGTGCAAGCTAATCAAATACCCTGAGATTGTATGGGAGTTGAAACTAAAAGACATACGACAATTAAAGCGAGGTAGGAGTAGGCCATGAATTAGGGGATTTTCTTGACGCTCTGATTACTTTCGTACTTCTCTTTCTTATTTCACGTGACCAGTGCGGCGGGGACTGCCAATGCAGGTCGCGTGGATATTAATTGGTTGACCGTGGTGTGATTCGCGCGCGCTGATCTGACTCTTCTGGATTCAAGTTATCGCGGACGAATAATACCCTGGATCAACGGCGTGTCACAGAAGGAACATTCACGGGGATTTATCCTACTGTTCCGGTCCCACTTGAACTTGAACTTGAACCCGGGGATAAACGCAAAGTTGGAGCGGTACGCTAAGGACGAAAAAGTGCAAGCGTATAACGCGAAGATCTTGCGCTAAATATTCCGTACGGAACCAGACGGCCAACCAAAAGCAATGGGTAGAACACACAAAAACCATAGAAAAGGTTTATTGGACGGCAGAAGGGTTAGCTAATGCTAAAAATAGGGCACCAGAAGAGAGCTAGCTAGGGAGAATGTCGTCGGCGTCAGAGCGGAAACGGAGCGTCATTCGCAGTCGAGTCGCGCGCCAAAGGCGGGGATCGTATTCGTGTTTCCAACAAACGGGAACAACGTTCCAACAGGCATACCGCCTAGTTCCCTAATACATAAGAAAGCTATAACTTGAATATATTTTAGAATAGTTTACACAGTCATATGGGGGAATCTCCAGGTTACTATAGGTGGGGGATAAGGAGACAGGAAGCGTTGAACACTCGAGGAACGTGGTAACGCAACGATACGCATCCAATCCAGTATGATACGTAATCGATTGGGCTGGCGAGGGATCTTGATCCTGCTCCGTACAACGCAATGCACTGAATGACGGAACAGTAGCATCCAAACCACTATCCATCCTGCTCGATGCAGCAGCTAGGGCGCCGTTTATTATCCGCTGTGACGGCCAGAACATCAAGAGATTCTGAGAAGCTAAAGTCATAGTGTATTTCGTGGGCAGAATGTTGCCAGGCTTCACAGGCCTAGCCATGGGAACGAATATGGTGCTCAACCAAAGCCGCTGGTTTAAAACCTTACAGCAAGGCAGCGATGTCTTGGCATCTGACTAAAGAAAGACCGTTTTATGGAGTAAGGAGCCACCCCCAATCCAGCCACCAACCTGAAGAGCCAAGAAACTGAGTTTGTCTAGCCTATAACCATTGACCAAATTGGTAAGAGTTGAGCTGAAGACGAAAAAGTTCCACCCAGCTTTGATCAATATAGGAATGAGACACACAAACCAGTGCACCACCTTAAGGCCCAGTTTCACCGCGATGGTGGCTAAGAGTGTGGTTGACTGACGTCCTTTATTGCAATAGCAGAGTATGTACACTTGATATAAAGTTCATAGAAGTAGTTCTAAAAAGAATAATTTAATGTAGCTCAGCAATTGTTGTTTGTAAGTAATTATATGCAGTTTTGCTGCAAGGGAAAAAGCGGCAACTCAACTGCACATAAAAATTCTATTTTTGGAGGTAAGCCTACCTTTCCTTCACTCGATAACCCATATACTTCTTCCTCAGTGATCGTGATGCAATTAAACCTTTGTTCTAACATTTTACCGACTGAATGTTTTCCTGAAGCAGTAGGTCCAAATATAACGATAGAAGGACCTAGAAAAAATAATTATATTAGTTTTGACATACATTCTTTGATTTCCTTTCCCAAATAGCTTATCAGGTATGATAACGGGTCTTCGGGTCGATCAATAATTAACATACGCAAGAGACGCTACACGGTGGTAACTGATTATCAGTTTTTATTGCCTGCATCATTTCAAAAATGGTGTGCTTCTCAGCATACTGCATATATTCCGGCGGTATTTTTATCGGTAGTTCATTTTCACTCACTAACGAGATCATTTGTATGGTCGTTGTGAACTTGGTTACTATGACGATGACCAATAAAAAATACAGTTGCATTCGATTTAGCTTACTAAAGCAAATTATTAAAGTTTACCATCGCTCACCTTTTATGATTTTGAATAATGTATTACAATGTCACACTTCTTAAGTTAGTAATTTTTAGTAATGTGTAATATTCCACCAGTCCGGCGTTCCAGGCTCTTCCGCGTCCAACTAGTATGACCGGGCGTAATAGGCCCTTAGAACTGTAGCACAAAATAGATAAGTCGTAGAAGACTGGATGCTCATATCACAACCGCCTAGTATGAGGCCGATGTAAGGGAGGCAGGTAAGTAAGCACGCCAGACATGGTCACTTGATTGACCTATGCGTGGAGCCACCCATAGGTAAGAGTGATCATTGGGTTTTGACCTTTTCGCTGGACACACCGAGGCTTTCAGAGAACCGTCGAATGGCAAGGGATTTAAATCGTATTGATTCTACGAAGCTGCGGGATCGGGCCCTTCAGATCATTTGGATCCCTGAACAGGACAAGGCCAGTTTAGAACAGAGGTGGCTTCTACTCAAAAGTGGACTTGTACAGTTGCTGAACGAAGATGCTCCTCTTCGCTCCAGGAGACATCTTCGGAAACCCCGATGGTGAAGAACATTTAATAGGGCGATAAAGAGGCACAATGCTGATTGGCGAAACTATCAAGAAACTCGGGGCTTCCGACGTTGGCTGCAATACAAAAGGTGTCGAAACATGGCGGCAGGAGAAGTGCTCATATGAACTTAGGTTAGCTAAATTTGCGAAAACTAATCCCAAGTGTTATTACAGTTATGTCCAATCAAAGGCTTTTCTAAGAGAGGTGTTCGGCTGTCTAACCATGGAGGACGGTACCCAGGCTGTAGACGACGTTGATAAAGTAGAAGCACTGCTACGTGTCTATCAAAACCTGCCTCGGAAGGATAGTGGATCAGGCTTGCCATCACAGCCGCACTGCTCCACTAGCTACACAATGCGGGAAATTATTCTCAATGTGTCAGAGTACTTCACAGTGCTGGCCAGTTTGAACCCTTTTAAATTAGCTGGTCCTGATAGTGTACATCCCGCCATAGTTAAGTCTCTGGCTGATATCCTTCAGTATCCCGTAGCGTAGTTATTCAACCAGTCTCTTCAAGAAGGCAAGCAGCCACGTGATTGGAAGGAGGCGACTATTGTTGCCATCCACAAGGGGGTTCTAAGTCGGTGCCTCTTAACTACAGACCTGATAGTTTGACCAGCATCATGCTGAACTGCTTGGAAAAGATTAGGAGGAACTGGATCTGTGAGCACTTGACTGAGCATACACGAATTACAGCGGAACAGCATGGCTTTCTTAAAAAGAACTCTGGTCTCACCCATTTATTTTGCTTTTTAGACCTGATTACACGATGTCTTGATAGTGGGATTTCGGTTGAGGTGTGCTATTTGGACTTCAGTAAAGCCTTTGACTCAGCGAATCATTGATTGTTAATTGAGAAGTTGACACGTTTGAATTGCATCCTCAACTATTACTATGGCTCTCTGAATTTTTACGTGGAAGGACATTCAGAGTCAGGGTTGGGGAAGTAAGTTCTAGTGTTGGCCATGCCTACAGTGGTGTTCCTCAAGGTTCGGTACCAGGTCCATTGTTTTTTCTTATGTTTATAAATGACCTGGCTCCTCTTCTTGAGGATCCCTGCTATATCTTCGCAGATGACTTGAAGCTAGTCAGTAGGGGAAACCGAGCGACATTTGCTAAGGACAACATTACTGTGGTGAATTGGTCAAGCCATTGGGATCTACCTCTAAATACCAATAAATGTCAACTATTGACCAGTAGTGGTAGCGGAATTGCAGTTCAGTCTCCTGTGAGACCTCTATCATTGCAGTGTGCTGATGAAGTCCGTGATCTAGGTGTCATCGTAGTAAACAATTTTAAGCCTTCGGCACAGTGCTGCCATGCTGCCAATAAAGCGCGACACTAGTTATTTCGTCTTAGGAGGGCGCTGAGTAACACTATAGCAAAAGTATTCGTGCTGTTATATAACTCAGTGGTTAGGCCACTTCTGGAGTATTGTGTTCAGGCCTGGTCACTGTACCTCCGGAGTGACATCATTTGTATAGAAAAGATTCAGAAACTTGCTATCAGAATGATCGAAGGTCAACGAGGGAAATCTTACGGTGATCGTCTAAGTAGCTTAGGATTACTTTCCTTGGAACGGCTTAGGTTGAGAGGGTATTTGATAGAGACGTTTAAGATCATTTAGGAACTTAGTGGTATTAGTTCCACCCATCTGTTTGAGTTGGCTATGTCAGACCATTTGCACGGGCATCGCCTGAAGCTCAAACACCATAGAGCTCTTTTGGACATCAGGGAAAAGTTTTTTACGAAACAAGTAGTTAACTTCTGACATAAACTTCCTTCTGATTTAGTGGGGTATGAGACCGTAGAAGCCTTCAAAAGGGGCTTAGACGATTGTTGGTCCATCTTTTTTCCAGATATTGTAGTTGTACTGGAAAATGTCGTGTATTTGCTGCTGGCATATGAAAGTGCAAAGATTGCTCTTGTTCTTGCTTCATTCCGTTAAAGAAGCAAGAAGAGACAATCCAACGTTGAAGTACCAGGGGCCGCTTCATTTGCTCGTTGGGCGGGTGCCTCTACCGTCCGTTTGACCTGACCTGACCTGACGTGGAAGAGAAGGGGAAGTGCCGGAAAGAAAGAAGAGTCATCGGCTGAGACTGAGCGAAACGCATCGACCGCTTGCTTTTTCACTTGTTACCGTGCTGCCTGCGGTCCGGCTGCAAGTGTCACTGCATAGGCTAACTCTACTGACCGTCCAGGTAACAGGCTGTGCCGTCACCCTAGAACGCATAAGTATGTGTTCAGCATCTAATTTGTTCTTTGTGTTTGGACGTTCTCTTGTTCATCGGGTGCATTGAGTTGTAGAGAGCAGGAGGGAAATCCCTTGTCAGCCCCATCGATTCCGTATCATACTGGGTTTGATGCGTATCTTTGCGTTACGACGTTCCTCGAGGGTTTGTCGCACTTGCAATGACAGCTGCAAGATTCCAGCTTTCGCAGCGAATGTTTGTCTAGCAGCTGCTTGGAACTCCTCGGATGGCGCGTCTGCAATTTCTTCCGCTAGGCTGTTCCATTCATACACCACTCTAGTGGATAGGGTGATATCCATGCGAAGCCTGAGTCCTTTTTGCTTATATAGTTTCCATGTGTGATCAGTGTGAAACTGTGAGTTTTGGGCCGGAAGATTTGTTGTAACTCACTTCCAAGTTCCTCTCGCAGGATGTGCTTATTGTGGATGAGATCAACCGGGTGACGAGGGAGCTCGAGGGAGAACAGCTATAGTTGCTGGAGTCGAATGGGGTAGGGGAGATCACGAAGCCTCAGAACAGCTTTCGCTGCACGTTTCTGAACCTTTTCCAGCAGAGCGCATTTATATGCTGAAAACGGAGGAATAGCAGGTAGGCTACTTTTTAAGACTGGAGTTAAGTACGAAGTGAACAAAGCTCGAAAAATATCAGGAATCAGTCGAGCGAACGATTTTCTTAAGGCGCACGTCTGTCTTCTTCCATTGGCCACCTTTTTCAACGTGTTCTGCGGCGTTCTAAGTTCAGGGGTCGTGAAAACCCAAAGATCTCTCTCATGAGTGGTATTCCTGATGACAGGCCCACCAATGTAGCATGCACCGTACCGTTCAGTGCCATTCATTGGAAGAACAGCGAATTTATTTGGTTTGCTGGCTATTCCCACTTGATAGCTCATTCGTGTGGCTGGTCTAGAACCCCTTGTAATCTATCCACATCCATAAGACTGGGTACGGTGGACCGTATCTTGTGATCATCAGCTTAGATCAAGCAGTCGGATTTAAGTGCAGCCTGCAGATCATTACTATGCTGTTTGAAGCAGTCTGGTCCAAGCACTGATTCTTGGGAAATGCCACTATTCATAGGCACTGGAGCAGGGAGCTTTTGTTCACTTGTACGAAAGCGGCAATCCAGGAGAGCAGATTTCCTGTAATGTCGGTTCCCTGGATTTTATGTAGCAGTCGTACTTGTGGAACTTTCTCAAAGGCTTTACTGAAGTCAATGGATATTAGATCAACATGTTTTTGGGCATCTGTGGCTTCTGCCTAAATTTCCCTGGCTATGAGTAAGTTAGAGATACATCAGCGTGCTCTCCGAAAGCCATGTTGAGCAGGCAAGTTGTGGTTTAGGTTCACAAAGTAGATGGAGAGCGCGTTTGACTATCCGTTTCATGGTTTTGCATAAAACTGATGTCAGGGCTATTGGCCGATAGTTCGCTGGAGCTTTTTGGTCTCCTCATTTGTATTTACGCGGGACGGTACCCGCTTTCTATCCTGTGGTTAGGCAGCCGACTTCGAGGGATTACCGAGATACTTGGCAGCTAGAGGCTGCGACGTACTCAGATATCGTTTTGGGGAAGCTGGGATGCAACGCGTCCGGGCCTGAGGAGGAGTTCGGGTCCAGTTCGAGGGGTAGCTTAGTGACTACCACGGGGTTAATTTCAACTTGGTCCATAGCGGAGTAGTGTGCAGGCAAACAGTTGTTGAGAAGCGGAGTTTCCACTGAGTAGACCGAGGAATATTGCGCAGACAGTAGGTTTGCTTTTTCATCATCGCCGTAGAGAACGGTATCTTCCTTAGAAGAGGGCGGGGATTTCACTACCTGTTTCGACATTTCGCTTCCTGTCGGCAAAGGGTTTTTTAGGACAGTTTTGGGACTCTATGGCCAGACCAGGTTCATTTTGTAGTCTTTTGTCTCGTTTTCTCAGGGTGAATAAGCTGCTGACAGTTTTCTACTATAAGTAGCTTGAAGTCAGCCCTATGCTTTTGAAATGATTACATAGTTTCCGCCGATTTTACATTAGGGACCTTACTTTTTAGCAATCCATGTGGACCATTCTGATGGCGAAATACTCCTGCAGTTTGGAACAAACTTGTCAATGAGCCACCTCCTCATAGATCGTATGCGTTCCCATGTGTCTGCAAACTACA